TATATATATATATATATATACTCTTCTCTGAATTCTTTCGCGATATCTTAATATTTCTTTGATTTTTGCATTTTTACGTTCAAAATGTAGCAGATTTCTTTTCCTGTTTTTTTTTGAACCATTTGATCAGATTAATATCTTCGCTTACTTTCTGCACAATCTCATTTCAAGGACGACTATATTTGTTGCAGAATTGGAATTGGCATTATAAACAAATTTCAAATTGCCACCATGGGAAAAACAATTCACAAAGCATCTGACGGTGTATACTTTTGTGCCAAGTACGATGTAGATAAAATATTTTTTATTTGCACTTAAATTGTGTTGCAGATATAAGAGAAAGAATACGAAGTAATGTTATTTATAGATGTATCTTTTGTATTAATCCTTAAAATTTGGTGATTTGTATTGAAAAAAACAGATATAAAAGACGAAGAAAGACCATTAACATAACGCATATTCGTAAATATATGCTTGGATTCATTTTCGATTGAATTCTACGAAACTTAGGCTCTTATTTCAAGGTCAACTACTCTTTTCGATGATGTTAAATGAATACGGATTAAATGAACCATGCAAGATAATTCTCATATAACAAATCCATCGCGTACTTTAATTATGACGTATTACAGAACATCCTTGGTGACAGAATAATGGCTGATGAATAACAATATTGTGCATTATCTTGCATGGCTCATTTAGTTGGTACTTAATCCATGTTCCTTGCTTTCAAAACTTTTTTCGAGTTCTAACTTTAATCAAGATTGCGAATTTTAATCGCTACATGTACAAGGTACTAACACGTTTATCTTTATTCCCCAGTTGTACGTGTACTCCATTTACCTTAATAAAGTTTTTATTACAAAAGCAAAAACTGTTCCATTCATTACAGACAAGAGGAACAATGAACAGAAAAAAGTAAATAAAAAACAAGTGGACAACGGTCCTATATGATATAGATAATCATCTCAAAAACTACTTTACAATTTCAAATGTAGTAGTAGACAGACTTCTAATCAATTACAACAATATATGCAAACAGAAGTTCATCGAAAAGCTTATTTCGTTCGTAACATTGCTGATTTTAAATCAATCTACTTAATACAAATTGTAGTAAAATAACGATCTTTAACCATTAAATATGTATTTCTGCATTAAACATTTCAATATATTAATAACTGGATCACCTTTAAGTAAGACTATAAATACGCACTCGGTAGCAAATTCTTAAAAATGATAAATACCTCGTAGACACCTTTAAATGATTCTGATACATTAAAAAGTACTTGGAATTTTGAAATGATTAAAAATTACAAGCATATGTGGATAAAGTATATTACTGCTCAACTGAAAAATAGTTTACTGAAAAAGTGCAAATAAATTCAAAAAAATGAGTGAAATGACCGAACAACAGTTGAAATAATAAAAACATAAGTAGTAGGTAAAAAATGAAAATAGCACTGCAGACTAATGTACAAAATGGGATGAATAGAAGAATACTTAAAAGTATTAAACTAATCCGATAACTACTAAAATAATAAATTATGTTAAAATCCAATTTCAAAACCAAAAAAAAAACTGATCAGTAAATTATTACCTTTTTTTACTGTCTGAGAAAAAATATTACACAGAAATATGAAGTGCGAGGAATACAAGAAATAACATCAACGTATTAGTGATGAATATGAGAGAAAAATGTAAAAAAGATATTTAACAACAGCATCAAAAATTTTCTTTAACAGAAGTGAAATAATTGATGAAACTAGTAAAAAATGATTATTAATTACAATAGTATACTACAAACACGCAATAAGTATCTGAACGAATTAATAAGTATTCCCGTGCCCAACCACGACAAATGAAAGTCCCAGAGAAACATAACTTACCCAACTGTCAAACTCGCATATCACCACATATTTCCTGACAAACTGGAATATAAATCGACTTTCATATTTAATAAAGCACCATTTTCAACTAATTGCTCGAACTTATAGGACCTCAAATCAAACAAGTGAGGAGAAGGCTTTGAATATATTATTTCGATGATCAAAAGAGAATGTTATCAATTGATAAAATATATTATCGACTGAAGTAATTCGTAGTTCAAGTTGAATAGATTAGAGTAAAATACGCATGAAGTCTTTTCATATCACATCATCTTACAAAGAGTACATTAGTAAATGATTCTTAAACAGGAAAAAACGTAACAGTTTAACTCAGAGTTCAAAGTCGCTGAGATGATATCCAAAACTTTAGAAATTTTAAATTTCTAAATCATACACGAAGTGAAGCTGAGCAAACTAAAAATCTTTTAAACAGTCATTGACGGAAAATGCTGATGAGAGTTAAGTTCCTTTCTAAACGATTCATTCCTCATAGCAGCATAACAAGTTACAGTGTTGTTGATATGACTGAAGAAAGACCATGAACTAATAATGTGGGCGGTAATCCATCTGTCAAATATCTAATTACTTCTAGATACTGTTCACTGTGCGAAATCTGTAACACAAAATCATTTAATTTGGATTCCCATAATATGCAAACATTATTTTCCAAATATTTGTAATTTAAATCTAAATTTTAATATACAAAATAAATTTAAACTTAGATCTTTAGTTATTATAAACTTTCCGTTCCGACTGTAAGTTGGAAATTCGGAAAATGTTATTTTCCGAAACTAACTTGCTCAAAGATACCAATTATATATTAGCTCTTCAGAGATAATTTCAAATAAATTCTAAAACGACAGAAACATACATCTTTCGGTGGAGTGGGTAAATTCAACAAGCAAACAGCCGCATTACCACTATATTGCTTAATCAAATCATTCATAGCTGTCAAATAAGGCAATGGTAAGTCAACTGATTCCCTGTAACACAAAAGTAAATCATTAACGATAATAAAGAACAGATACTTGAATGATGCAAAAGCTATAAGAAGGTACTTCGGAAAATACGTTTTTTAAATACCTTGGTGGAGCAGATGGAATTTCGGTCCCAAGATGGCAAACAACATGATCCCATGGTGTAACAAGTGATTTGGCATTTATTCGAAGATGGGCCAACATTTGTTTTAGTTGTCGTCTCCGTCTTTTCATATCCTCAAATCAAGTGTGACGCTAATGTTTTTTTTTTTGGTTTTAGCAAATTCATTTAATTTTACTTATTTGTTATAAACTTTGACTTTTAAATATAGCCACGAGTTTGCAAAACAAGAAAAAACGCTAACATCTGTTAAAGTTATCGTTTTCGTGCAAGACAATGTTACAAAAATTACTTATCAACAGAAACTGCTCTGAGATAAATATCAATCATTACAGACTTACAAGTCAGGGATAAAATTAAAGCATCATTCAACTCACTGACTACTAGTAGAATTAAATAAAATTCATTTCCGAAAAAGCAATCAGAAAATATAAAAATTAAATGGGCAATAGGCAAACATTAAATATTCTTAAATTATTCTCGACTGAATGACCGGTGCATATTTGAAGAAACTAGTATAGTGAAGAAATATGGAGAGAATTAGGCCGAGAACTTTCGAGCTAGCACTGATGTATCCCCGTAGATTTTTTTCCGCTAACTTTTAAGGTGGGAAAATCCATCTCTTCCTCAAGATGAAAAGGAAGTATTGAAGAAGTTTGAAACATGCTCATTAGTAATGAAAATCACACACTTTTTTGATTATCTTCGGTTAGTATCGGATTTCCACTAGTTTACACCAAGATACTTGACAGCGTAAAAATATTAGCAACCTCGTATACAGCACAAGATAAAATTTTATACAAATTTGTTTGCGGATAAATAATACAAGTATAAAGTAATATTTAAATAAAGTCATAGTATAACAAACCTGTAAACTATTTATGCAAATGAAGACGCGCAAAACTGACGAAGACTTCCATCGGGTACTCATCGATAATATACAAGCCAATTGAAGTAAGAAAAGGGAACTAAATTGGACAGGAATGTCATTTAGAACATAACAACAAGTTAATTCAGTGACTTGATAAAAAAATTATGAATGACAGTCAAAAAAATTTGATAAAACTAGCAATTACTTTCTATCATTATGACACTAAAAAAAAAAACGCACCTATTGCCCCAACCAAGCCCTGTTTCACATGGTTTTTGTAAAAATACTGGCCAGACATCAATAAATTTCTTGGGACCATTCCAAACTCTAAAAGAAAGCACTAAATAATGATCAGATAAAATCCAGCAGCTGATTTGTTTGAGCATCAACCTACAAAATGTACCTCGGAACATCCCTATCCAGTCGATTGAAATATCTTGTAATACACAAATTTTTATTCAGATGAATCACATCATTCAAAATGCGCACATACTCTTCGCTACTTAAGCGGTCACATGAACCATTTAGTTCCTATAAACTGTTTGGATATAATGATTGCTAGATAGAGAAAAAAATCAAGGCAATTATTCTATGTTGTGTTGGTTCATTATCTACAATTCTCTGAAAATTCAATGCAATTCTTGATCAAGTTAAAAAAATTCCGAAATTATATATACTACAAAACTCATAACTGCTTAATAGAACCTGAAGCACTTGCGCAATAATTATAGAAAAACACTGAAATGTATTGAAGTAAAAAAAGGAAAAAAGTGAAACAACATGAGTTATAACTTCAGATGTATGGAATATTTTAGAGAAGTACAAAAGTAAAAACTAACTCGTGGCATGTAATCTGAAGCCGTGAAATACTCGACAACAGCAGCTCGATCAATACGTGAGAATCTGAGATCTTTGAGAAGACAGGACTCAGCAAGTGTCGTTTCTGATGGAAATTTTTCGTGAAATCCCAGAACAATAGTATTTGGTTTCATTGCTCCCAAACCAGATAGACGCATCAACTGAACATAGTAAAATAGCGGTCCCAACTCGCGACAAAGAATACAAACTATTTTAAAGTCATTCAGATAAATCATTTAGCATACATAATGAGTTAGTAATAAAAAGTTAAGCAGTGGCATATATAATTACAATTGATTTTTTTTTCGGAAATTATTTTCAACTTTTTAGATCTTTTAAATTGCAACTGAGAGACTCATAATATCTTAATAAGAAAATATAACTTCATGTTACATAACAAATACCTGCTGGATGCCTTCACGCACAGACTTAGAAATGGTTAGTTCGACAAAAGCTTTTAGTTTCAAATAATCGACAAGAGAAAGCCAATATGGAAACACCTGTAAAATAACATAAGTATGGATTTTCTTAATGCTTCGGCAAAATTTATACAACTAAAAACAAAACATATACTGCAGCCCATTTAATAATCAAATACGATTCATATAGTACTGCGGTCATCTTCAGAATAAATCAAATGCGATGCATGAAAGTTAGAAATTACAATACTATCATAAAATTACTGAAAAACAATCCACTGAATTAAGTTACAGAATTTTAGTAGCAGTTCATCATCAAAACAACTAGTAAATAAACTGACACCTCATGCAAAGGATCCAAGTCCATACTGCCATCATTCATGCTACCCTTTTTTACGTGACCAATTACATATAGACCACTTTTCTTCAAATCGTTGATAAAATCCATCAAGGGGCACACGCTAGCTGGACGACTAACTAGAAGAAGTATCTGCGGTCGCCAGTATCTAGAATAAGATTGATTCATCAGTTTCACTCGAAAAAAATGTCAAGTTACGAGCACTTTTCTTGATGACTAAGAAAGTAAAAAATTTGCAGCAACGCCAAAGATAAAAAAAAGCGCATACTTCACATGTTCCTTACGAACATCTAATAGAAGCAGATATTTTCGTACTTGATGATAAATCAAAGCTTGAGATATTGAACCCCAAGATCCAGCTGGAGCCTGGAAAAAACGCGACAAAATAAAGTTTAGACCATTAAAAGATATCAAAAATAGAATACTGATACGATTTAAATCTGGCATCATAAGCACACACACCTGATAATGCAGAGTTATGATTAAAATAAGAAGTACAATTACACCAATAGCACTCATAGCAGCATCAATAATTAGCATCATTATAATTGTACTTACAACACCAATGGCGCAAGTATGCCAAGTGAAAAACTTGAAAGTCGGCCTAAAAATGATTTTTTTAAAAAGCCGTCCTTAAAATAAAAATGGATACTTCATTTCAAATGCCAAATCGCATCTGGTCAAAGAGCCTTTCCAGTTATAGTGAACTATGAAGCGAATATTTACCTATACTACTGTTAGGGATGTAGAAATCATAAACCTAAGTTCCATTTAATATCAGTTTAACCAATTAACCAACTTTTAAATTTGAAGATTTACCTGAAATTAGGAGCACTCGTCAATTCCAGAGCTAAGCAAGCAATATTTACACCCATATATGATAACAAGAAGAAAATTGATGTTAGTTTAGCAATTTTATTCATTGCACCAACCAAAAAAACCAACTGAAAATACATCGTAAATAAAGGCACGACATTTAAGCAATAAAATCCGATCCCTCTCAACTTTTTATGGAACTTTTCTTTCAAACTGAGTTTCTTTAACAAAAGAATTACTATGGATTACCTAGGTAAGGTACGTATAACTATTTATAATTCATAGTTGAGCATAATTTGAATAATTCTTGACGAATACATTCCACTCCAGATTTTGGGATTGTTACAGGGAAATTCTTACAAATATCGATTAAAGATTTACTAGGTATTGATTCCATACATTGAAACTATAAAACAAAAAATACCACGACGCAAATCCATGATATCACCACTGAAGCAACAGGATTTCCAGTACCAATTTCAATTTTTGCCGGATGAAGCAAACAGCCAAATAGCTTATCGTGTGCAACGCGATTCAAAACACGGGATGCTCCGATCATATTGCTCATGGACGAAAATAAGGTAGTTGAAAACACACCAATGAGAATAAATAATGGCGAAATATTTACACTCATCATGACCTGCAAAAATACATGACACACTAAATTTTTTTGCTGCAACAAATTATGAAACACTGGTCAGCTCTACGCAAAATCTCATGAAAATTCCAACAAATTACTTAAAACAATGGTGACAATATAATGAAATAAAAAGTTGAAGGAGAAAACAAAAAAAATAAGTTTCTAAACAACAAAATCGTACGGAATAATCAGACTGGAGTAGTTGGCGACTACAAGTGGCAGCCAGCATAAATGCTGTAATAATATAAACAAATAAAGTGACTAGAACTGCTTGTACGGTGCCACGTGGAATGGAAACCGATGGACGAGCCAATTCACCGGACATATTAGCACCAGCCATTAATCCTGTAACGTTATGTTAGGGAGAAAAAATTCATAGAAGAACCGCAACATTTATGTCATTCAACTTTATTCATAATTACCTAAAATCATAACAGAAGACGTGTATACAGCAACAGCAAAAACATATATCACACATTAAATTCAAACAACTTAATTAAAACTGAATAATAAATCCGACATCTAATCTCTAATGTGTAAAAAAGACCACTTCTTGAAATAGCAATTAAGTATTACTATTCAGATATCAACTTACCGGTAATACCGCTAAATATAATTGCAAACATCATAGCAAAATCAGTAGGTTTTGTCGTTGTGTAATCAAAAGTATAATTTGCTGCCATATTGTTTGCGAGAGTTGCAAATCTAAACTAAATGACTGAACTCTGTCACTTGTAACACTGTCTAGATCTTTCTTATTCACATGATTTATCCATTCTAATTCAAAACTTTCAATGTAAATAAAAGAAGATACATACATAACGCATGACATTGATTTCTACAGTGCTTCTTTAAAAACATTGCAAAAATCAATTCGCGAACCAAATAATTTTCCTTAGATGATTTTATCGATCAGTGGCAACAAATATGCGAATAAAGGTTTTTTCAATAAAAGAGTATTTGTTTCTATCGACAACAATAAGAACCTTGAACAAAATATTACTTGCTGTTTACATACCTAAATCCTGTATAACGCGCTTTTAAGGTCTGATTAAAATCTGGCACTTTTTCGGAAAATGGATCGGATGCATTTGATGGAACCTACAAAAGTATTTTAAGTACACAGTCAAAAGAAAGAAAAACAAATAAAGCTGGAAATTAGTAGAACAACCTGTTTGGTTAAAATCTAATAAACAATGTACCAAGTATGCGATTTCATTTGTTTTCGGAATCAAAACATCAAATGCGGAAACACTAAAAGACGATAATAAAAACGAGGCATAGCAAAATGTGATGACACTAAAAGTAATAAGAGCAGTTTTAGCGAAAAGTCCAGCACCAAGAAGGCATAGCAAAAGAAGGACAAAAGAAACTATCACGCAGCAGAAAAATTTCCAGCTAGCACTTGATGGTATACCTGAAAGGTGCGTATGATTTATCATATCTTTTGGCAAATGAGAGTCATGTGACTCCTATCAGAGCCTTTAATTATCCGATATACAAGAACATATGCGCTATCTTCTTTCAATTTTTTTTACATTTAGTGTTTGGTTTCAGATGCTTACAATACAAAATAAAAGCATTTTCAGCTGACACTTCACTACAAAAATCTAGAAAAAACGATATACTTCCGTCACCAATGTTGTTTAATAAAGCTTCTGTGCACCCGGAAACGTATAAAGCACATGAAAACACATTGGCCGTATAGAACAGCAATCCAATAGCACCACCAAACTCTGGTCCTAGTGATCTGCTAATCATATCTGAAAATATAATTCCGTATTCAAAGTAAGTGTTAAGAATGTGAAAAATAGTTCTGGATAACTCACAATAAACTCCACCGCCTTCGATCGCACCGTTTGAAGAAATAGCACATAGTGAAAGTACGGTTAACATAACAATAGTATATGCAAGAAGAAGTTGGGTGACTGTTTGCAAAAAACCCAACTGTCCGACAACAAAGCCTTGAAAACATCAATGAAATTTGTTCAATATGAAAGTAAAAGAGAGTGAAAAAAAGTTTCAGTTCGACGCGATACCTAAGAACAGTAAAAAAATAATGTAATTGATACTTTCCTTCCAAAAGTTTTATAGTGAGGAGAAACCTTGTAAAGCATAAAACCAATTTTTGCAAATTTCTGAATTGAAATAGAATTCTATTTGTGTATCAATAAAAAGTGTTTTTATTCTAGTGATGAAAGTATACCCATTCTGAGGAACAAAAGAACGCTGAACATTGAAATTGCCACAGGAGCAAAAACACCCGATAATGTGGATAATCCATTTGGCTCAACTGCATTAGCAAAATCTGCCAAATCTACAAAGTACTGAACTTCAGGCTTATAATAACAATAAAAATTGCTAATGTTAAAAAATGGAAAAATCTTTTGACTACTATGTAAACTAAAAAATAAACAAAAGATAATTACGATTAGGTCCTTCGTCAAAATACATTCCGGTAGTTCTCCCACTTAGCCTTGCATCCGGATCTAAAAAGAATCAAACTCATCATTATATCAAATATGTAGAAAGAATTAACAAAAAAAAACTATGACAGAAAAGTGGATTGATCTTATATTTTCTTTACAAATATCAATGTAATCAGCATTCGTTTCCAGTTATATCTTTTGATCAGCCGATCAAAAGATATATAATTCACAATCAATGATTTGGAAAAGTTGGCTGGAAATCAATCCAGCGAAAAAAATAGAAAAAATGAGCAAAATCTTGATTAAACGGTAAATTCTGTAATTTTTTATTTTGGAATGACCAAATACCATTTGAAGGAAATCAATAAAATAAAAAACGTTCAAATATGAAATTATATTTAAAATCTTTACAATTATCAGGGATTAAAAAAATGAGCATCTTTATAAAATTTATAACGCTACAGAGTTAAGTGATTCCAACTCGCGAAGTAGTGTCATAGGTACTGTTGATATTTTAGAACATTAATTAATTAAATGATTTCAGTATATTAACATTTTGAAATATCAACAATACCTATGACTTCATGCACGGAACTTATGACAGCAATGGATCTGTATAACTTCTAATCTGAAACAAATATGTAAATATTTATTTCAGCAGTTAATTTTTGTTAACAATCGCATAATGTCCAAAAATAAGGCTTGTAATTTTTACAAGACAAAGCCTAGACTACACTCTGAAAGCTAATACGTCACTACTACAACTACGATGCAATTTGTAATTCAAGTGAGTGATATAGATGTATCACTACTGTTGCAACAAAAAACGATACAGTATCAACAATTGAAGTCAATAAATAAAAAATGAGCAAACGCAAAATACCTGTCATAAGTGGTGCTTTATCAGGCTTTTTTTTTACATCGCCAACAGCATCAGAATTTGTGAATGCTGATGCTACACATTCATTAGTATCTCTGGGTAGTACACCACCATATGATACTGGTGAAATGCCATCGCTATGATTTTGCAAGCGATCATTCATTTCCACCTAAAATAAAAGTGATTATTGGACGAAGTAACAAAACACTTATAACTGAACGCAATTTCTCCACATCAAAAGATTGTACTATTCTTTTATTTTGCTGAAATCAGTTTCACGATTAATTATCATTCCAAATCTGCCTAAATATGCATATATTTCAGATGTGATATAATGACGAAAAGACATCAGAAAATTTCTGCTTCATTTGTTTGCTAATAAGTGGAAAAATTGTTGCAAATCTAAATTTCGAGCAAGAAAAGGTGAATTTCCGATTGAATGTCAAGGAGAAAAGCATTTCAGGTGAAGGACACATTATGTATTTGACTGAACTGCTGGCATATATGCGTGAGTAGAGGTTGGTACCAAGTCAAAATATCGGGTCACAAGTTTCTTTCAACTGAGAAGTCTTCACACATTCCCTGCTGTCTATATTTGTGATGCTTTTCAATACATGCAATCAAACATTAAAAGTAATTTTCTCTTGCAATTTCCCAATAACGTTAATTAAGTAGAATGAATACTTGAAATTATGAAGTAAAAGTATATAAATCTACGAAATACTACATCGACTTCGTTACATTAAAGATGTAGTGTACACGTTAAATAACGCACTCAGCACTGATTTCAAAAAAAGGTAGTAATCAACAATTTAAACTTATTACCATTTGAATACGACAATTAAGCTGACGTATGACTAATCGAAAAATGGAATAAAAATGATGCAAAATGATGAAAAAACAACGTATGCAAATTTGACAGATTGTTATTACTCACACAAGACATTAATGACAGAATGCAAATTTATGCATTGGTGTTCGTTAGCAATTTTTGTAAACTTTGTTAAAAGAAAACAAAGTATTAAATATGAAATGCAAATTTTTGTCTTAAAAAAAGGAATTTCAGATTTAATACTGAAAATGTGAAAATGATTAATTAACACGTTAATTTTGCGTCGCAAAATGACGTATTCGCAAGTAAATATTGTTACAGCGAAGTAATGATTTTTTGACATAATATCTGTGCAAACAGTTAATACATTAACTCATAATGCTGCGTGTCTTACATCATTTGATATTAAACAGATTGAGTAAATGAAGAGATGCACAGGCGAGGAAATACATCATCGAAAGACAGATAAATAAACGGCTATGTTGTGAGTGAAACAGAAATACGCTAGCATGTAGAATAATTCAGTTTTTTACTGGAATATTCTAGTAATTTCTTTAACAAATTTGAGCACAATACAAAATATTGATAACAAAGTGAACTGATTCTGCGTTGTTTTACGCATAAAGCAATTATTGTTAACTTTGTTGAGAAAGTTAAGTCAATAAAGCGTAAGTAATGCGTGTGATGGAATTTAATGCAAATTTTTATTAATTATGTTTTGTTTTATTGATATAAGCATACTTAACAAATTGTATATTTTATGCAAGTAAAGAAGCATAAGCATACTTCTAAATGAACAGTCTATGTATGCACAGAAAATTATATCTTATTCATTCAGGAGGGAAAAAAGAAGTACATCTATTACTAATTACTGCAATTAATTTAATTATGCAATATTATGTGCCTAGTGTAGATCGCAGTTAATTGTAAACTTAATCTGCGTGTATTTACTACGAATTTTTGCAATTTCTCCAAGTCAAATCACTTCAACGCGTCTTATTTACACTTTGGATGCTGAAAAGTTAACACTTGGATATCTACTAGATAGCAGAGATACAGCATAGAGTTGTTGATTAATAACATGCAGCAATAGCAGAAGCAATCTCTCGCTGTGCAAAGCAAGCACTATTGAAAGCGTCCTTCACTGACTTATTAATTAATGAATTAATTACTATTGGGCCTGTGCTAAATGATATTTATTTCAAGTATTGAAGCCTTCTGCACCGTTAACTTTACTTAGCACCTGTTTATTGAACATCTTTCATCCTTCTATCATTATCACTTCTAACATCACAAGACTACTCCTTTTAATCGTATTTGTTATAGTAATTTACGCATAAATGATATCTGAAAAGTAGAAATCAATATTGCTAGACGCAGTATTTAACGCAAATTTTGCAACTCACGTGCTACTATTTGTTAGTTACTTAATAGGTTGTTCTGCGTCTTAAAGAAATTGGTAGTCATTTGTGTTTCATTTGTTTTTATGTACTTAATTAGTTAAATTTAATTGAAAGTAATTGCAGTAAAGTTTGTGCTACTAGAAATTAGTGCATTGAATATGGTTAGTTATTAAGTGCGTGTATTTCATCTGTATTTGTTTCTAATTTACAGTCTACTATTTTTAAACATTAGTTTCTTTGGCATTGCTTGGTAATTTACCTCTATTAATGAGCTATTATACATAAATGGTTGTATATTATACCAATGTTCGTGATTACGTTGATCGTAAAGAACACTTCAGTTTAAGACTATTTTTGTCTTAAAAACTATAGTGTTAAAAACGGTAACGACTGCGACTACGATTACACAAGTACGTAAGTAATATATTTTTCAGAGTTCTCGGTTAATTAGTGCTGAAAATATTGAGTAGCCAGTAAGAGCTGATATGTTGGACACTAACTATCATTCATAATGGTTTGTATTTACTATTGATTTTGGCCATTACCATTATTACGGAAGTGCTATTTGCATAACCTTAGCTAATAGCAATAAAAGAAATTTGTTTGTCAAATTTAGCCCTTATCTGGTTGAATCTTTGGCATCGATTTCGTTTCCAGCAGATGCGGTTAGTCCGCGGCCACATGGCCCCAACTCTTATCGAAACGGTCAATATAAATTTGGAGGATTTTTCCGAAAATTTTTTGACTTGCGCAACGTGCTTGTGTAGCTATGATCAAGTACTGTTTCCCATATTTTTGAAAATGAAATGTTATCTTTTGCATCATCTATTCTAGACGATTTTTCTCTTAATCATATCAACTTTCAAATACTTTTCTGATGTATTTGCTGTTAAGCAAAATGAAATACTTTTGAAAGAATTTATTTGAGGAACGAAAGAAAGCAAAACTCTTAGCATGTTCTCATTCTGTATGTTTGGAGTGTTTGCAACATATGGAACAACTTCCACAGGTCATTTTGAGTAGAGGTTTTATGTTAAAATTTTGCTTGCATTTTAGTTGAAGAATGATATTAGACATATTGTAGGTATTGAAACCTTTAGTACCTTTCAAATTAGTACATTTAATTACAGGATAGAAAGGTATTATACGAGTCAGTAAAGTTAGTTCAGTTCTCGTACAATGTGATTTTCTCTAGGTGGTTGAAACAGGGGTCTTACGTTGTCCGCTGTGTCGTGAAATGATTAATTTGCCGTCTGGTGGATCGAATGCTTTCCCATCTTCATTTCTTATTAATCAGTTGCTTGATTTGATGCAAAAGCAACGCAAAGATGTTGTGCCTAATTGTTCAACGCATCAACAAGAGCAGTTACTTTATTGTGAAGTCTGTGATCTCGTATTCTGTCAGCTATGTGATTCTCCTTCCACGTAAGTGTTTTTTAATTTTGATTTTCTCTTCTTCTTTTCGAATTTTTGACTTATGGAAACTTACATAAAAATGCTTGTAAAGTTGTGATTACGAAAGGGTAAATCTGTCACTCTATAAATATAAATATTCACGATATTTTCATCAAGCTTTTCTATTTTAACTAGAGAAGATATACTTCAAGTACTGTTTATACCAAATGATTCATTAAAAATTAACTTTCTGCAAATGGTCATCATCTTTATATGATCAATATCACAAATACATCACTATCATTGTTTTTTATATCGAGAATTTTCAGACGTGACTGCTCTATTCATACTGTTATTCCATTTTCTATTGCATTGAAGCGTTTATCTGAGATAGTTCTTTATAAAGCAAATCATTGCATCGCTAGCTTAAATACGGCCGCAGCTAATGTCAAGTGCGAAGCTTTGCAACTCGACCAAAATGTTGATAGCATAGTCGATGGACTAAATTCATCGTTCCAAGTAACCACATAATCATGTGATTTTACTTAACCTTTTTTTCGAGCATGGCTTACTGGAAAGTTAAAAGTTAGCAAAAGTTACAAAATTTGCTAATGGATGAAACAGATATAGTTAAAACAGTTTAAGATGCTAAAATATAACAGCAAAATATGTATTCACTTTTATGTTGAATTTAAAATCCCAGGAAGTATGTCAGTTGATAGAAAATCGACGTCGCGGGCTAATCGACGCTGTTCGAGTTATGAGAGATGAAAAGCAAAAAGTATTGCGAGAACAAACAGAATTGATTGACTTACATCGTAAAAAGTAATAATTTATTAAGGCAGTAACACGGGTAGATTACTAATTTCACTTTGTGGCAGCTGGTTCATTTAGACTCACTATTTTTGTTTTTTCTTGTAATGCTGAGCCGACTGATTTTATAAGTAACATAGTATTTCAAATTATTATTTTTTTTGTCAAGGTTTGGACTTCTATTAATTTCATCACCAAATTTATATTTGACTAGTATATATTCTAATGTATATTCTTGTTTTTGGATTCCAAACAGTCAATGATGTCTTGTACTGTTTAAAAGGTTTGAAGTCTCTACATGCTTCAAATTGAACACGGTTGTTTACTGAACATAACTTTTTATTCAACTATGTTTGTTTGTGGCATACATTCTGCTAATAAATTTAGTATTCAAATTTGTTTCAATTTTCTAGATTAGAAAGAGAGCTAGAAAACTGTCAGTTGGACGTGCGTGAAATAGGAGGACGTACGAAGCGTGTTATGGCAGCAACTGAAGAAGCTCTTGCATTGACAGAACCTCGTGAAAACGCTTTCTTAAAGCTACATATGGATACTAAGAAACTATTCATCGGTACGTGACTTGCTTGAAGTAGTTTTTGATTCTTGACTGTGAGCACTATTTCTAAATTTTCTTTTTTATGCATTGAAAACTAAACATTTTTCAGAAATGGAAAAGTCACTCAGCCAGTTTGGTTCAGTGTCGGGTTCAACAACCTTTCCAGGACAATGTATTGTGGAGCTCTTGAATACTGCTAGTGTATACACGGAAACTCGTTTGATGTTGACTACTTACGATGTTAATGGTAAACGACGAAATAGTGGTGGTGATCCTGTAAAGGTGGAAATTTTCAAGAAAGAATCAGGACAACACATGTTAGAAGAAAATACCGATACTGTAAAAGCTAAAACAATTGGTGCAGTAATCAGAGATGATGAAGATGGAACATATTCCATTTGCTTCAAGTAAATTTTTTTCAACAGCTGTTTCAAAGCTTGTGCGTACTGGTATATTGTCTATTAGGAATTCCATCTTTTAAGTTATTTCCTCCCATAATCAGAATTTAGCATTTCAAAAATTGTAGTATTATCCCATTGACTTCTTGAGGTGTTGAATATAAAAGTTTCAGAGCATACGAATCCTGTGAATATTTGGTGCATGTTACTATCTTCGGTAGACCAATTAAGAATAATCATTTTTTGGTCAATGTAAGTAGCCATCATTGCCCTCTATGGCATTTCGGCACTCATGGATCAGGTGCATTACAACTAGATCAACCTGTAAAAATATGTCAAGATGGACGAGAACATATTTATATCCTAGACACTGGAAATAATCGAAGTCAGCCGCATTACATTTTTAAAATTGTTGATTTTAATTTTACTAGGTTTTCTAAATATTTCGAAGTGTTCTAAGATTTTTTGAAGAGTTTATTTCACTATTTAAAAATTTTAGAACAGCATTGCACGTGTTCGCAAATGTTATGACAATTTTCCAGTTAAAGTTCTGGATGTGGATGGTGAATATCTGAAAGATATTAAGAGTGAAGGAATTAAAGGTGGCAGCACTGTTGGTATGACACTTTTATCATCTGGTGATATTTTGACTCTTAATTGGAGGAGCAAAGAATTATACAAATGCAATGCTTCTGGAGACCTTGTCCAGGTTTTTGAGTTTTCTCTACCAATTCTCTTATAGTAACTATTACTGTTATTAAATATTTCTGTAACTTTTACTGTTAATAACAATAACCGTTACTGTTATTTTTAAATTATTTATTGGGCTTCACATAGCATATATCAGATAAACTTACAAATTATCAGCATAATTTGTTATAGACGATGAGTTTCACTGAGTTTGAAGAACCTGTTGATGTGTGTGTCGATAGTCGTGGACGGTATCTCATTGCTGACACAGCGTGTGCCAAGGTATCTTGTCTTGTACATATTTTTTAATCTTATGGGATGCTTTTAACGCTGGTTTTCTACTCTCTTAATTATGTCATATAGTTTTTACAAATTATGTTGTATTGCTTTATTATGCTGGTGGATATCTATCGTTGCAGCTGGTTGATTCCTGTTTCAGGTATTTGTGTTTGACAGTGCATTTCGTCCTCTATTTAGCTTTAGTGTGACTGCTCATGCAAAATTAAGTCCCATAACTTGTGTGGGTGTTGGTCTCCACGACGACATTCTTGTGGGCACGTGTTCTGCTTTGCTTCTGTATGATGGAGGAGGTTAGTTCATTCCAAATTCTATTCGTTTTCTTTCAAGGTTTCTTGGAAGGAATAAGTAGATATGGATCACGTCTAAATCTAAACCTTTTATTAACAGCTCTGTGCAACTTTAATACACCTTGCATTTGAAAAAAAAAGATTATCCTTTAATTCAGAAAATTCTACTCCGGCAGAATCATTTTAATTAAATTCAGTGTTTTGTAGGTCGATTCGTACGTGAAATATCGTTGTGTCCAACATTGCAGTCTGGTCGTATGATGGCTTTAGCATGTTCTGTATGCCCCAAAACAGGGAGCATTGTGTCAGCTGTTGTAGATTCAAAGAAAAATCGTGCCTACCTTGTTGTTTGTCAATATAAGGTTGATTTACATCAGAAATCTTAGCTCATGACTAAATCGTCTTAAGAAATATGTACCTTTGATTACTGGCAAAAATGTCATTCTAGTAATTGTTGATATTATCAGTCATAAGGTCATAATCTTTTTCTAGGGCAATTTCTTGTTTGCAATGGATAGCTATGGATCACGTTTAAAACGTCCTTGTGGCGTCTGCATTGCCTCATCACCAAAATGGAGCGGAATGTGTTTTGTAGTTGATTCAGCTACCCATTCTGTCAAGGCTTTTCAGTTTAAATAAGTCATCGTGCAGTTTGTGTAGCCCACTTTAATGAATCTTCCATATTTGCTGACAAAAGATATCCAACTATTAGGTCTGTTCTAAATATGAACCAAAACTCGTAAAATAAATCTGGACGGGAAAATTATATATCGTACTTCTTCAAGCGCAATCATTAGTCGAGATGTTAACACTCACTCATCTCTACCAATACTAAGGTCTGCGTTTTCGTATAAATTGTAGTTTGACGTATGTTATTTTGCTTGTAACATAATCAAATGTGTTAGCAAATAACTACTAGTTTCTGATTGTATAATTTCTATACTACAAAAGATAGTTTTCTCAGTAGTTACAAATGATTGTGAGGGGTGTGCATCATCTGCATGTTGCAGAGAAACCCTAGCACATGACTCACACTTCAACTTTCCCAGTACCAGTATTGCAGAAATAGGAAAGAGATTTGCCAAAAAATTACTGCAGGATTACCATTACGCAAGGTGGTGTGTATATAGCACTTTTTAATGCAGAGTACATTTAATCATTATAAATAATAAAAATCGTCACTAGCATATCCGAATCATACGCATACAACGTTAGCAGTCTTTAAATGGAGGTAAAAAGTAGCGAACTGAAATTAGTGAGGGACTCATGACAACAACATTCAACGTTCGGGGAAAACGATGCAGATAATATTGATGGCGAGAACGAGGAAGACAATACGACAAAAGAATGGGATAAATTCTATTTACACCGCCTGTTGAACATATTACCCGTAAGATATGACGGTCAGTGGGAAGTCTGTGTAATCGATTTAAATTGGTTCTCAGGACTGACGTAATCGACTAGTAGGACCTAAACTCCTGCTCAGCAATCTTAGCTTCCTCAAAGATATATGATGAACTACATAAATGGTAGTGTGCCAATCTTCCAACTCTTCTGCCCTTCCGTAAGTAGGTAATTTTGCACGGTACAGATATCACCTATAGTGTCGAAACTTCGCTGATGACGGAAATATTAGCTGGCCTTATTTTCCGTTAAAATAACTATGAGATGTAAAATCGTGCAGTCTTTTGTAAAGAAACTGTAGATAAGGTGGCTAATAACTAGTTAGAAGACTGAATGAAACTAAATCATGTAAATAAAATATACTAGGGGAAGTATTCGTGCCAACGATTGAAATTTCATTTTAAGCCCAGAATGAGCACTGTATTAGTGAGATCATTTCTTGAGAAAATGCAAAAACAGCATGAACCATATAATAAAGCACACAAATTTCGAGTATAATCAGCAGCGAATATTCCTTCAGCACTATAATATAACAGAAAGTCGGCAAAGGATAAAGAGGGATGAAGTTGAAAGTTATTGCATGAGTTTTTCAATTATGATTGGGCAATTATAAGGGAAATAAAAACAGAATTAGAACTCATTTTTTAAAGTCCTCGATTCGTAATGATTGAATTTTTTTACGAGTGAATGTATAACATGATGGGCGCAGCCATTGCTATAGATGTAAGCCAATTTTATGAATGATACTGGGTCGCCATTAGCCACTGCACCCATACCCATCCAAATCGAACTAAAAGGCACAACACCACGTCCATAACATGCCAAATACGAGTCCGGTGCAAAATCGTAAGAATGCTTCTCAAATTCTCCATGTCGGAAATTTTTTCCTAAATTATTTAAACCATTATAATGAGCATAGAAACAAGCCTATGAAACAAATTTATCGAGAATATGATCTCAAAACTGAATTTAGATGTACATACACCAACTTATTTAAGTGGGCAGATGAGCAAGAAAACTCAAAGACCCAGTCAAAAACCAGAAGGATATCCATTAAAAGAATAAAAAACTGAATGCACATATTGTGCATCAATATGCGACATTACAAAATTTGATGAAAGAGCATGATAAATGAAAAATTCGTTTTCATCTATAAATTTCAGACAATAAGTATATCAACTTACCAGGTTCAAATTTGTCCATAGTGCTTTCATGACCACTAAGCTGTGTGTGCAACACTTCCCCATGCAGTACAGTACATGTACTGTTCATCCAATGCCATCCTAAATGAAAAATTGCAACATCTAACATAAAAAACAGTGGTTAGTATGTACTTTCAAACTGAAAAATGTAAACTGAAATTTAAGCAGCACAGTTCAAGAAATGATTTGACTGTTGCCATTTTGAACTGCAATGAGAATTACAGAGGCCACGTAACTGAACGGTCTAATTATTAGCAAAGAATATTTAAAAGGCAGGTCATTTCAGCAACTCACAACGAAGTATGGAAAACTAAGCCCTTTAAGTCTCTTAACACCTCGTCCACTTGCAAACAAACTAATTTTAAAGAAACCTGGAGAACCACATAAATTACAACAGAGACTAATAATTATTTTGCAAGAGGTGTTAGAATAAATGCTAGGCTTGCATAAAATATTCTATTGGTTGCAGCAGGGAGAAACCTAGATCTTAGTTTACTGATAGAAATGAGAATAAATCTCAATTCTACCGCTATAAACTTACCATCTCTAAAATAAGGCAATTAAAATGAGAGTCCAAAACAGCTGACGACACTAAGTACGGATCAGTTCCGTAAAAGCATATGTAATAATTCGCATTTATGAAAAATTACCCAAACTATGCATAGCGTTAGAGTCTAAAATAAATATGAGACTAATGATATATGCTGCAACCCTACTGTGAACTGTTCGTTGCTAACTAATAAGCTAATTACAACACTAACAGTACGGACACATGATATGACACATAAGAAACTACTTCACAATTTTTTATAATATATGGGGAATATTATCAAATCTTTCCAAGAGATTCGCTGAAACAATTACTTAATGATGTGAAAAAACAAATCAAATGACAGAAGTAATTTACCAGCAAATCCAGCCGTTCTATAAGGTGCATGGAAAACAGCAATGAATTCTGTCAGAGATGCGTAAAGAATATTTATGCGCAGATTCAAACCTCCACCATAAACTGCTTCCCAATCGCTGTCCATGATGTGTTGCGGATATGACTGGCGTAAATCACTCCGTAATTTCCTAAAATTCCAAATTCCGTCGCTACCTGCAACAGAAAACTATTTCAATCCTGAGATATTACAAAAAAGAAAAAAGTCTCAAAGATCAAAAAATAAGCTGATAATAGTCAGCTGCTTAATGCAATATATGGTTTGTATATGTATAATATTACTGCAGTTCAAAGCAATTTTCCAGACTTTACTACAATAGAGCTGAACTCAAAATAAAGCAAAAAATAAAAACCCAGTATAAGTGAGATAAAAAGAGGAACATAATACAAGAAAGGATGATTCCCTTAATTACCACGTAAAAATTTGCTAAGTAAACATAAATAGCGTACCATGAGATACTGCTGAAATTTTACGGAACATTTTCGGTGAAATGGAATACGATTTCCATCGCAACAAATACTGAATTACACTATACACTATGATAGCGATAATTGCGTTACGAACTATACGTGTAAACATGAAAGCCATCTCTTTACATTCAAGGTGTAACCTAGAAATCAAATCACTTCAATGAAAAAACATTTAAATGCAATCAATGGAATGCACCGCAGACCCTGACAAACACCACATCTCCTTAGCAAAACATTACCCACACTAACTTTACAGTGCACTGTAAAGAATTAATAGGCTGATCAGCCCAAATGCTCATTTTAATGGGCCGCAGAACGTAAAATTGAACTATCAGTCGATAATATTCTCGCAATGCAATAATGTCTGATCATTGCATGGTAATGCATGAGAGGGCTGTATTGAATCGTAGGTCTTGGGATTGGTTGTCAACTTTCTTACACTGTGGTGACTTTTTCAATTCGTGAAAATTTCGGGAATTGAAATACAAGTAATTAAAATGAAAGTCACATGGAGAGGAATTAACCAGGTACTGATTTTGGGGTGTTGTTTCGCATTGTACTTCGTTGCATTACGTATCTAGGCGGGAAATATACTGTTAGTGATAACTATGTATTCAAAGTTTATGCGTTTCTATCATAATACTCAGGCATTTGTTTTTTGTCGAGTAGACTACATATTAGTAAGATTTTTAATGCTTTTTTACTTTTGATCGCCATTTTTGTGCAAATTTTTGGTTATTCTTATAATTTTGCACCTTGTTTCTGTATCATTATTAAAAAATTCATACAATTGATAACTGTTTTCATGGAAAAAGGAATATGAAGGTTATAGAAAGGAAGAATAATAAGTTCTAATGCTATGTAATGAATTATTCCTATTATTTGTACGATGAAAACAAAAAGCTAATAATTTTATTACTTATGTAATCTTTTAATTTAAGCTCGTTTCGCATTGAACTTGTCAAAGTTCGGTTTTGTTACATGGAATTCTTTGATTGCGCAGTATGTGATCAATTGGTAATGAAAAACATAGAGCTTTTTGCACCCTTTTTCCACAAAGGTAAAATTTATTCAGTTTTGACTACTTTCCTACATCATTCTTGTAGTCACTATATTAGCATTATATTTAATTTTATTGGTTTGACTTTATCAGGTACTTACTAATAGTCGGGGATTGCTTACTAACGTACTTGACATCTCATTTTCTTTTCCATGAATTCTAGCTGGTAATAATACAGTCTAACTGCAATGTATGAAATAACAGCATAACTGTTCTGGTTTGTTTGAGCCTTGTTTTTAGTAATGAGCAGTCAACTTTTTTCAGAAAATTTTGGCGTACTGTGGGTGAATTCACCACCAGAAAACTTATCTCAAAAATTAACAAAACGTTTGTGGAATGAAGGTGTGTTTCGCGCGTGTACTGATGGTGCTGCAAATTTTATTATGCCTCTAGTTCAGTACGACTTTGATGCTATATTGCATTACAGTTTCATAAATTAAACAATTTATTATTAAGTTACTAAAATCAATTTATCTCCGAATACTTAAATTGCTGTGCAAGTTTAATGTAGTTAAAATTTATAGAAACGAGCATTACTTGACTCCGAATTTAATTTCGGGGGATTTTGATTCTATCACTACGAAGGCAAGAAATTTTTTTGACTCGCAAGCTGAGTTTGTAGAGACATCTGATCCAGATTATACGGATATGACGAAGTCGCTAAAAATTATTGCAGGGCGAATTAATAACAAAAAGCTGGATGTATGTCAAATAGTTTTAGTTCTGAGCATTAGAAACTGTTTAAAAGTTACATCTGGCCGACGAAATGTAGAGACTTTTGTATATGTACATATATAGTGGCGTAATTTGAAGTATGAAAAATGTACGTTTCACTAACTTTGTTTTCTAATCATGGTCTTTCACAGGCCGTCATGTAACGTTTCACCTTAGTCATTATATAAAATTTAAGATGTCAAAACTGATTATTTTGGGTGGTTTGTGTGGTCGTTTTGATCATGTTCTCTCATCTCTACATTCCTTACTACAATTCAGCGCCTGCGATGCCATGATTATTGACGGTTACAACCTACTTACCATCCTACCGAAGGTGAGCTCATACTTGCTAAATTCCTATGAATTCAAGCACAGTTTTGAAGCATATTCGTTTGTCCATACATATATTCACTCGAATACATCATATTTACTTTCTTCAGGGATCTACTCACTTGAATTTGACAGGAAGAAATGCGTTCTCTACTGGGATGTGTGGTGTAATTCCCTTTGTTCAAGAAAAAACCATGGCCTCAACTGTAGGTCTTAAATGGAATCTACGTAAGTCCTCATATATATATCGGAAATTAGTGTGTAAACCAGTCTTTTTCTTGCTTACCCTGATTTTCTTTCAGTTAAACATTTAGATTACTTAAACTAAAAATTTCCATCAACTTCTAACCTCATTTTTCAGACAACACGGAGCTTGCTTTTGGTAAACTTATTAGTTCATCAAATGAAGTTGTATGTGACAGAATAACTATAACTACAACGGCTCCAGTAGTCTTTACAGCAGAATTGAAACAAGGCGTGATGTAAATGTTCTAACACTGAATATCAGTTCTTTTATAACATTGCTACCTCACTTTCAGTGTTGAAAGAGATCTTTGAGTATCAAATTGTGCAATTTCAATATATGTCTTTAAAGTTTTCGTGATGTCAAATATGGAATTCAATATGAAGCAGTTTAATAACTTTAAGACCTGAACAATAGTGAAAATGAATAATTAATACTAACTTAACAACTGAAATTAATTCAACGTTTACCAAGCATTCACTATTCGGTAATAATGGCACATCGCTTCAAAATAGCTAGTTTCTCTCCAGATTACAGTAAAACTAGCATACAATTTCATTCAGTCTTTTCTCATTTTTGCATCAGCTACAGCTTCTTTAATTAACGTCTTCAATGCAACCTGGAATTGAAAGATCTTAATGTGGTAATGGCAAAAACAAAGCTCTAGAACTAGATTTCAGTTTTAAAATTAAGTAATGTACTTTGTGTTCACAAATTAAAAGTCTTTAATTTTTGATATATGAATGGCAATCTAACCTTCTGTTTCTTTTTTTGCTTCAGTGGTATGTATGCATATGGTTCATATCTTCTGTTCTGCCTACTAATCGCTGATTTCTTTGGGCGAATACAACGTGATGCTTTTGTGCTCTTATTGTTATGACAAGCGGCAGATTTTACCATGCTCGTATGCTGAAACTAAAAATTCTAAATATATTTCCTGGAAAGTAAAAACTTGAATTATTTATCAACTCACTATTTACCGAATACTACACACAGCAAGATTAAAACTCAAACTTCAAGATCGTGATCTTCGTTTTCATCGCTATCCACCCCATCGACTTTCATCTTCTTATCCGTAAAATGTAGTATTCCCGTAAGACGTCTACGTATCATTTCGTTATTTTCCTCCATATCTGTATCTTCAATTATTATTCGCCCGTCTTCTGTCATTTTGAATTCTCCACAGTCTCCATCACAATTTTTATCTAGTTTCTGCACTCTGAAAAATACTCAAGTTTCTTGCTGATGTGAAGGCATCAAATATATTGCATGCAACATTTAAATTAATCAAATTTGTTTTTAAACCATAACCTTTTATCTTTCAAAGAAGCAGGTTGTGCTGTTGCAATATTTTTCAGCATCTTGTTTTGGTCGAGTAAATCCATCATATCTTCTTCGTTATCATTCTTAAGCCAGATCGATGAGCCTCGCGTTCGACATCCAACTGATTCCTCATCTGTTTCTTCACCGTCCTGTAATGCAAACAATTGATATCAATTACAATTATTGCATGTCACTGAAATCGGGGCTTAAAGAAATAAAAACTAGAATCCTATCAAAATTGCCCTTTTTAGTTTTTACATTTGAATGATAATAACATACACTTCCACTATTGCTAAGCATATCCAGTACTGTATCTGCACCTGCCGTTCGAACGCTAGGAACCGTTGATGGAACATCACTCTCTTCATCAGTTTTTGTACTGTGTGCAGCTTGTGTGTTCCGACGTGAGATCCGACGTCTGTAATTTGTTACATTTTTTTTTACAAATATGAATTATATCTAGTAGAAGGAACTGAAACAGAATAGACTGAGGATAACACTGCGATAACATGAAACAATTGCAGTAACTAATATCCCACTGCGGCTTATGATTCTCACTTAAAAATGAATTCGCAAAATTTTACCTTCTCTTAGCAGCCGACTTCAGTTGTTTTATCCAGCTTAGTTTGTTAGTCCGTGTTATCAAAACTTCGACACCGATTCTGTCAATTAGAACTTCAAGCAAAAGTTTGTTTGCTTTTCGAACTTTCTGAGTAACATCCGACGTCAACTGACCATCGAACACAGCTGAGATGATTAATTCCTTAAAAAAATTAAACCAAATAGGAGAAACTCGCATAATTTCATCATAAAATCCGCCTAGGACTTACAATAATGAATTTAGTTCAAACCTGGTATTGCTGCATTGCATAATTCGGTAACTTTTTGACAAGCATCCGCATCAGTCGAATAACTAACACTCTTATTGCCGGTCTTCCATCTCCAATCCCATTGCAAGCGTGAGCTATAAGGTCACTCAGTAATGGAGTATCCATGACACGAACATACTTTTGCGCAATAATGTTCAGAGCAATGTTTGCCGATCTAAACGATTAGAATTCAAAAATCGCGAAGTTTTGTTTTTGAAGTATACAAGCGCGATAGAAGTAAGAATTATATATCAATGCCATGGAGCTTAATATAGGTCTTGAAAAGAAACTCAACAGAAGAGTATGCACCAGTAAAGTTGATTGAGAGAAAACTTAATGGCATGATTGAAAAAAAAAAACTACCTCGCATTTTCTAAAGAGGATAAGTCATCGTTTGAACATACTTTTCTAGCCCGATTCAATGTAGCAAATATTGTATTCAACACGGAATGAAGTGCATTAGATGGAGTTTCACTACAATACTTCTTAAAATATTTCTAACAAGTTAGTATTACATCTCAAAAAAGTAAGGCAATGAACACATTCCAAGTCTTATTAAATGGAATAATTATCTACTTTAAACACAAATCCTGAAGATTTTCTACACGGCTTCTAAATATACTAACTTTTTGCTGGAACCAAACAGTATTAGCTGTTGACATAACTTGACAAAACATTTAAGGGCGTTTGAACGAGTCCGGATATTGTGTGACTTGTCGAGACAAATAATAATTTTTTCAAGGAATCTAGCTTTGAAATTTTGAACACCTTCATATGAAGTTAATGACAATAATTTGCAGTGATATACAGCCAGAAGAGGAGCCCGTGCGTTCAATGCAATAGTATCCAGTCCCTGCAACAACAAAAAACTAATTCTAACTCCTTATATTTTCTCTCGATTAGGCAAGTAACAAAACTGTTCAATTACTTGATCAAGGATATGGCTTATTTCATCATCGTTCAACGAAAAAAATTCAGCAGCATTTTTATCAGCTGATCGTTTCATAATCTGTTCCATAATTCGGAAAGCCTTCTTTTGAAGCGCAGTCTCATTTGTCAAAAACCAAGGATGAATCACCGAAAACATGCTATTCAGTCCAGAAGTGTTTGCCTTCTTCACTAGCGCTGCCATCAAGTCCAAAATCCGAATCTTCAACAGTTACAAATATAACTTCATAACACAAGGTCCAACACCTCTTCCTTAACAGTAGAAAACAAGCAAAAAGACCTAAAGTTACAGACAGAAATAATTTTGTATGAATTCTGACATAAGTCTGATGATGCAGCTTTTCTAATTTATGCGAAATTTCAAGTCATAAACTAAGACCTTTCGAGTCAGAGCTACATCCTCAAGTTGTATACTCTTAACAGCCAAATTGATAAAATTATCAATTACAACGCTTGGAGTCAGCTTCACATACATACGGATAGTTTCCAATGCAGAACATTGGAGAACCCCTATACTAGTTTCAGTAATTCCTTCTACATCCTCCTTTGTAGCATCTGCTACGCCATACAAATTGAACAGTATCCGCATGAAACTGTAAGCAAATTCCGACATCATATCCTGAAATTATACAAAACATATTTGGCATGAATTACAAGTTTTGGTGAATTTAAATGAAAGTTAAAAAGTCACGATTCTTAGAACTGATAAAAACCTTTCTCGCTGCAGGTGCATCAGGTAGTAGAGCGAAACGAAGAGCACTACGAATTGAAGACAATACAATAAGTTGCAAATCCCGTTCTTCTACTAGAACTTTAAGCAGAATTTTGGCTAATACAGGAAATTGAGAAATAAAGTCGGTGGGTGAGCTCAACAAATTTGGTAATAAGTCCCATAACTGCTTCTGAAAAGTCATTTTAAATGAATTTAAATACAAAAAAAAAAATTGACTACATCGCATCAGATAATGGTTGCTATATATA